AGCCAAAGTCAGATGCTTACCTGACTGAGCCACCCAGGTGCCCCTTGAATATTGTTATTTAGATGGAATAAAATCCATATAACCTTTTGAGCATAGCTTTTTTTTTTCCTAAACATAATTTCCTGGAGATTCATGCCAACTGTTGCATGTATCAACAGTTTCTTCCACTCTCCCATGTTTGATTCTGCAAATAGTCATATACTGGTTTTTGTGTAAACTTAAGTTTATATTTTTTTTGAGGTGGCTGCCCGAGAGGGCAATTGTGGGTCATAGGACAGTTTCATGTTTAGTTTTATAAGAGACTGCTAAAATTTTTTTCAGAGGAGCTGTGCCATTTGACTTTACACCTGTAATACATAAGTGATACAGTTTCTCTTTATGCCTATTTTTTCTCTTTCCATTGTTCTTTCTTCTTGATGCTCAGGGAGCCATTCCTTTTTCATGTCTTTTCTGTTTGAATATTTTGGGAATATTTTGAATATTTTTGGCCTTTCTTTAAGGGTCAGTCTGTGAGGGACAAGTTCTTTTAGTTTTTCTTCATGTGAGAATGTCTTTATTTCCTGTACATTAATGAAGGATAGTCTTGCTACATATAGAATTAACGGCTGAGAGTTCTTTTCTGAAGCACTTGAAAAATGTCCTTTCTGTAGAAATACCAGTAACAGCAGAAACCAGCCTGGAAAACAACCCCAAGACAATGAATCACCCAAGTTCATCAGGAAATGACAGGGACCAGTGCTCTTCACCTGTCTTTCTCCCACCCAGTTTTGGTGAGTTTAAAATAAGTAGCACTGTTTGCTTTAGATGCATCAACATCCTTAATGGAAGCTAGAGGTAGCTCATACTTTAAATTAAGCTTTTTATTTTGAAACAATTTTGGATTCACATATGTTTTCAAGAAATAATGTAAAGACATCCATTTTACTCTTTACCGGTTTCTCCCAACCTTAGCATGTTACAAAACTATGGGATGATAACGCAACCAGGGTATTGACATCGGTACAATACACAGATGTTACTGAAATGTTCCCAGTTGTACTTGTAGTGATTTGTGTGCGTTTGTACATATGCCTACGTAATTTTATCACATGAGTAAGTTTGATGTCCACCAGTACAGTCAGGATACAGAACATATCCATCGCTATCAGGATGCCTCGTCGTGCCCTTTTATAACCACACCTGCCTCTCTCAGGCTGCCCTTTCCTTCCCGTTGCTCATTTCCTTAACCCTTAGCAAGTGCTGCTCTCTATAATTTTGTCTCTCCAAGAGTGTTGTATAAAGAGAATCTTACGGGATGTAACCTCTGAAGATTATTTGGAATTTTCAGTCGGCACAATTCCCTGAAGACTCATTCAGGTCGTTGCATGTATCGGTACTTTCTCCCTTCTTAGCGCTGAATAGTCTTCTGTGGTTGCAACGTGCAGTAGTTGTTCACCCATTCACCCGTTGAAGGACAATCATTGTTGTTGGGTTTTTCTTTTTTCCAGTTTTTGGTATTAGGAGTAAAGATGCTACGAACATCTGTGTCCTGGCTTTTGTATAAACATAAGCTTTATTTCTGTCACGAATGCCAAGAGTGCAGTTGTTGAGTCTTATGGTATTGCATGTGCAGTTTTATAAGAAACTGTCCAACAGTTTTCCAGAGAGACTGTACCAGTTTGCATTCTCACCAGCAAAGTGTGAGTGATCTGCTTTCTCCGCATCCACATTTCTGTTCTTCCCATTGTTCTTTCCTCTTTCCCGATGCTCGACTTCTTTCTGTCATCATGTCCTTTCTGTTTGAAGATTTTACTTTAGCCTTTCTATACAGGTAAGTCTGCTGGGGACAGATTCTTTTAGTTTTCCTGTGTTTCAAGATGTCTTTCTTTCACGTTTTTCCTTAAGGATAGTTTTGCCTCATGTAGAATTCATGGTTGAGAGTTCTTATCTTTCAGCAATTGAAAAGTTCATACTCCTAGAAATGTCAGGAAACGCAGACACCAGCCCCGAAAACAGCTCCGAGACCATCTCTTACCCAGATTTATTGGGAAGTATCAGGGGCTCAGATACTGACTCTTCATCTCTCCCACTCCTGCCCAATTTTGGTGAGTTTGAAATGATACATATCACGTGTATAACTGTTTAATCTAGATCCATCAACATCCTTAATACAAGCCAGTTACAGCTCTTTTTGAAAATTTTATTTTGATGTAACTTAAGATTCAGTGCAGTAGTAAGAAATAATATGGAGTGATTCGTTTATGCTTTATGGATTTTCCCCAATGATAACGCCTTGCAGAACCATGGTACAGTGTTACTACAACCCAGACATTGACATTGATATAATTCACAGGTGTTATTGAGATGCCTTCAGTTTTATTTGCATCTGTGTGTGTATATGTGTATATGTGTATATGTGTTCATGTGTGCATTTAGCACTACACAGTTTTATTGTACGTGTAAGTTCGCACGTCTGCCGCCACAGTCAAGGTAGAGATCATTTCCATCACTCAAGGATCCCTTGTTATTGCAATTTTTAGAACCACACCTACCTTCCCTGCCCCCAAGACCCCTCCCCGATGCCTGGCTGTCTCTAATCTTTTCTCTGTTTCTATAATTTTGTCTCTTCAGATTGTTATATAAGTGGAGTCATATATGATGTAGCTCCCCCCCCCACTCAGATTTCTTGGAGACTCATCCAGTTTGTTGCATGTATCAATAGTTTATTACTATTATTGCTGAAAATAGTATTCTATGCTACAGATATACTACATTTTGTTTAATTGTTCACCTGTTGAAGGACATCTTGGTTTTTTTTTGGTGTTTGGCCTTTAGGAATAAAGCAGTTATAAATACCCATGTACACATTTTTGGGTAAATATAAGTTTTTATTTCTCATTTATTGGTAAAAAGTTTCCTGTGGTATAGATACACAACAATTTTTTTTTAAAAACGCATTCACACATTGAAGGACATCTGTTTTTTTTTTCTTTCCAAGTCTGTGGATACTAGAAGTAAAGCTGCTGTGAACAGTCACATACTGATTTTTGTGTAAATACAAGTTTTCATTTTTTCTGTCATGAATGCCAAGAGTACAATTGCTTGGTCTTATGGTAATAGCATGTTTGGTTTTATAAAAACTGCCAAACAGTTTCCCAGAGAGCCTGTGCTATTCTACATTCCCAGTAGCAATGTATAGATGATCTAGTTTCTCCCCATCTAGATTTCTCACCTTTCTATTATTTCTTCCTTACTAATGCCCCAAGATTCCTTCTCCATAATATCCTTTCTGTTTGAAGATTTTCCTTTAGCTATCTTTTCTGAGTAAATCTGCTAGGAACATTTTTTTTTTTTTTTTTTTTTTTTTTTTTTTT